AAGTACGCTGGCCTGATCGGCTACGTGATCCCCTACTTCAAGAAGTGGGAGAACTTGGAGTCGCGTGGCACGACCTCCGCCGGCAGGACGGCCTCCTCTCGGTCTTCGCGCTCGGGACGCTCCTACCGGTACCGTCTCTCCCTCCTCTCGGCGCCTCGCGCGTCTGGCCTGGCACTGACTGTGGTACTCACCGCTTCCGCCTCTGCACAGGTCGTCTCGTTCCAGCGCCTCGGCGTCGGCTGACACTGCCGACAGCAGCGCTGATACGTCCTCCCGAGCTTCGTCGAGGTACGAACCCAGCCCCTCGTTCTTCTGGGTGCGCAAGTGACTCACACCAGGGCTTCTTCTTATGTCAGGGCCATGGACGACGATGATGATTTCCAGCAGGAGGAAAGCGTTGGGGGCGGCATCAACTTTGGCGATGACGACCTGTAAACCCCTGCGTGTGTTTTGGTTTTCTTCTCTCCACGTTTTGTACTTGCTTTGCTCCCTGGCGTGTGGCCACCACATAAACAGGACCACTGTTCGCATTGCCCAACAGTCCTCCCGACGTGGTAGCGGACGCACGCCACCTGACCCGGCCATCAAAAACAGGCAGAACGAGCACATCCGCTGTTGGTGCAATGAATGGATTCTATTAAACTAAGAGCGCCGTTGGTCCAGTGGTAGGATCGCCGCCTCCCACGCGGCGGGCCCGGGTTCAATTCCCGGACGGCGCACATAATTTTTCCATTTTTCTGCTTTCTAAAGCAATTTTTGTCAACAGACCCGCTGGTTCCGCACGCAACGAGACGGTGTGCTCGTTCATGGGGGAACTTGAGAGTGATCGCAAGGAATTCTCTTGGGTGGGCGGGCTGTAGGTACGATCTTCCTTGCCCTGACGCTTGGTCATTCAGACAAGCAACACCTACAACACGCACACCCCTATAAGGTGCTCATTCCCCCCCCCCGCCCATTCGGCTCGCAGTTGGGTTGATGCCAACCCGCCGGCTGTGATGCAGGACATGCTGCAATCAGAAACATCCCTGCGGCCCAGTATATGGCAACTCAGCCACGTGAAGCGGCTGGGCGAGTTCCGACGCTTCCCTCAACTCGCTGGCACAACCACCGGCAAGTTTGACGTTGCTGTGATCGGTACGTAGTACTTACCTCCTTCTCTCTCGTACATCCCGACCCGAGACTCAACCGGTTCTGTCTCTGCATGCAGGCGCCGGCATGTTTGGCCTGACTACTGCGCTAAAGCTGCGGGAGAGAGGTGTGAGCGTGGTGGTGATCGAAGCGCACCGTGTGGGCATGGGCGTGGGCGGCTTCAGCACGGCCAAGCTGTGCAGCCTCCAACGCACCATGTTCTCACTGATCCGCGGCAAGTTCGACGATGATGTAGTGAAAGCCTACGGCGCCATGAACCAAGAGGGTACCACCCGTCCCCATATGGTATTTGGTGCGAGATGATAGTGATTCATGTCCTCTTTTTGGACGCAGCCATCAACGACATTGAGGCAGTGGTGCGCAAGTACAACATCGACTGCTGTTTCACCCGCGCAACACACACAACCTTCGCCATGAACGCCTCCGAAACGGAGAGTGTGGACTC